GGTGCAACATCTGCAGGGACCTGCTCACAGGTCGTACTGTCCTGTTTCCCTGTTTTCCAACACCCCAGACACGCACTGTGTCTGTGCTCTGGCGCGGATGGCTGGGGCTGGGGCTGGGTATTTAGCAGTCCTGGGCTCCCTCTCCCTCCCTGCTCTGACTCCTCTCCTCCCCCCGGGAGCTGAGGTGTGGGGTGCTCAAGTCCTGCCACCGGGCCAGAGCTTGTATCTTACCCCCTTCGCGAGGTGCTGGGTTCTTGCAGGTGTGGATGTGGTCTGGCTGTTGTCCTGTCTTCTGGTCTCTCTTTTAGGAAGAGTTTTCTTTGTTGTATTTTCAAAAATGTATGTGGTTTTGGGAGGAGATTTCCGCAGCTCTACTCACGCCGCCATCTTTCAGATTTGTTTTTCTTCCATCCATCTTTCACTCTTGTTAAACTATGTTTCGTTAGGATAGAGTTTGCATTTCATTTATATGCATTCATAAGACTGATGCACAGTCCAGTCCAGTGGTTAAGATGTCAGACTCTTGGTTAGACAGATCTAAACACAAATTCTGTTTCCAAAATGTAACAAGCTGTATGGCATTGGAATTGACTTAGTCTCTCTGTATCTGTTTCATCATCTTTAAAATGAGTGTAATAATAGTACTTAGCTTCACAGAGTATTGTGAGAATGTTGGAGATAATAATTATTATTATAACACATAGTATTGAATAGCAAATGAATGAATTGTTTAGTGACTTTTATCATTCACAAAGTAAAATCCAAATGTCGAGAATCTTCATGATCTGATCTCTAGCTTTCCCTCTGACCCTCTATGGAAGGAGTCTTCCTCCATGTAAAACAGTCCCCACTGGAAACTTAGAAAATTACTTGCCGTGCTTGAATGTGCTGTGTTCTCTCTTCCTCTCCATTCTTTGCTATGCTGTCTTTTCATTTAGATGCTCTTTCTCCACTTTAAGTCCCTAGCAAATTTTTACACAGCCATTAAGACTCTGAATGCCACCCCTGAACAGAGGCCTTCTCTGATCCCTTCCTGTCTGTACTCAAGCTTCGTCAGATGCTGCTTTCCTGGCCTCCCATAGAGCCTTTTGTGCACCTCCATTCTGATGGAATATATAGATATATATGAATCCCTTGAGGGCAGACATTAGCTCTACTCACAGGGTCTAGCAGGTGCTAGTGACATGAAGTCAATAAATGTTTATTAAACAAATAAAAGCTTCAGAAGATTGGAGACTGACGAGAATTAGGCTTTAGATGGATTAATGATTGTACATTGAGCGTTGACCCCCCTATTCTGAATTTTATTGTTGTTAACAACCATTTGATCAATAAATATGAGAGATGCCCTCTCAAAAAAAAAAATTGCTAAGAGACTAGATCTTAAATGTTTTCACCACAAAAAAAGAAATGATAATCATGTGACATGATGGAGGTGTTCGCTAATGTCAAGGTGGTAATCATGTTGTAATATATAAGTGTATCACATCAATACATTGTATACCTTAAATGTACACACTATTATAGGTCAATTATGTCTCAATAAAAAAATTTAAAAAAAAATTAAATTAAAAAAAATTAAAAAAAAACAAATAAAAGCAGGGGTAATACAGATAAATCGTTTTTTAAAAAAAATAAATAAATATCATACTCTGAGGATCAGCAAACTCCAGCCCATGGGCCAAATTCAGCTCTTCCACTGCCTGTTTTTATAAATACTGAGTTTTTTTGACATTCATTCATTCATTCCTGAATTGTGTATCAGTGTTTTGCTTGACAATATCAGAGCTGAGTAAGTTGCAACAGGGACTGGGAGGCTCAAAATCTGAACTATGTACTATGTTGCCCTTTATGGAGAGTTCCCTGATTCTTGCTCAATGTAGGTTAAGTTCCTTTAAATAATGTTTGGAAAGGAAAAATAAAATTAGCAAAGTTAACTTTTTTTCCTATGGTTTATGAAAATGTGGCAGTTTCTCCCTATCTCTTTCTTGCATATTTCTTTTACAGGCGGCCATATTCTGTTTAACTCTGATATTTCTTAACCGAATAGGCAGGAGCAAACTTTTATGAAATGACTGGCCTGGGCCCTTTGCCTCAAGCTCTTTATAACGGTGAATCCTTTAACCCTGAAGAGCTGAATATTAATGAACTAGAAACGGCTGTTCTTCACAAAATGATGGATGCAACTGTATATTTACAAAAGGAAGTTTTAATGGTAAGTAGACATTTATGAGAAAATATATAATAAATGATATGATTTGTATTAAAATTTTTTGATAGCAAAAGTTAATTTTGTGAAAATTTCTGTCCTGATCATTTGGTAGTGGTTCTTAAAAGCAATAACTAATTGTTTAAATTTATCTGTGTATAATCGTGTCAAAAAATTGCTTAATTGGAAAGAAAATTCAAGTTTTTATAGGAAACTTCAAGAATCCAAAATTGCATACTATTTATTGATTTATTTCAGATTAAGTAGTCTTTGTATGTAATCTCTGCACAACTTGAAAACATATGCATATAAGTTGCCAATGTTATCTGAATAACATTTTTGTTATTTTAGGGCACAATAAATGACCAAACAAATGCCATTGATTTCCTTATGGATAAGAACAATGTTGTACCTCGTATAAATCCTTTGATTTTGCACACTAAACCACAGTACCTTAATTTAATATCTACATCAGGTAAAATAATCCTTTCATATACTTTCACAAATGCTTATTGAATTGTGAATGTTCTATTAATTTGTTATTTAACATTTAATATGAAAATTTTCAGTAACTGCTGATATTGAAGATTTCTCTACATTCTTTTTCTTGGATTCACAAGATAAGAGTGCTGTAATAACAAAGAACATGTATTATTTAACCCAAGAAGGTAATAAGCATATTTTATTTTCTTGAATTTATTCCTAAAATAGCAAAAACTTATAATTTTAGTAAGGTAATAAATTTTATATGTTGCTATTTGATTAGTTGCCTGGTTTTCAATTTGAGAGTTTGTAATTTGTTAGGATAAAATGATTGTGCTGAGAAAATGATGCCTAATATTCCAGCTAATCATAAATGCAAAAGGCTTAATCTCGGGTTTTTGCCTTTTATCAAAGCAAGCTATTCTTTTCTTTCACCTTTTTAAGAAAGAAAAAAAACATTTCAAGACTTTGTCAAGATTATATAATCATCAAGAAAAGTCAAAGTCTTAGGTCAAAGAATGTTGGTTAAATAATATCTGGAAGTTTTTTCTGGGGTTGGGAATCACAACCCAAGATGGGGACACCAAGACAGAAACCTATAAATAAGGAGTCAGCCTGAACAGGGGGGTTTGCAGTGAGGCCACAGATTGGTTAGAGGACAGTGAATTGTTAAAGATTGGTTAGAGGATAGTGAACTGTTAAGACAGGTGCAGCTAAGTAAAGTTTGGACCTGCTTTGCTCTAGAGAGAAAAATGAGAACCAAGACATGAAAGATAAAAGAAGGCTCATTTTTATATCAGTATGTAAAGCATAAGGTGGTAATCATGTTGTAATATATAAGTGTATCACATCAATACATTGTATACCTTAAATGTACACACTATTATAGGTCAATTATGTCTCAATAAAAAAATTTAAAAAAAAATTAAATTAAAAAAAATTTAAAAAAAACAAATAAAAGCAGGGGTAATACAGATAAATCGTTTTTTAAAAAAAATAAATAAATATCATACTCTGAGGATCAGCAAACTCCAGCCCATGGGCCAAATTCAGCTCTTCCACTGCCTGTTTTTATAAATACTGAGTTTTTTTGACATTCATTCATTCATTCCTGAATTGTGTATCAGTGTTTTGCTTGACAATATCAGAGCTGAGTAAGTTGCAACAGGGACTGGGAGGCTCAAAATCTGAACTATGTACTATGTTGCCCTTTATGGAGAGTTCCCTGATTCTTGCTCAATGTAGGTTAAGTTCCTTTAAATAATGTTTGGAAAGGAAAAATAAAATTAGCAAAGTTAACTTTTTTTCCTATGGTTTATGAAAATGTGGCAGTTTCTCCCTATCTCTTTCTTGCATATTTCTTTTACAGGCGGCCATATTCTGTTTAACTCTGATATTTCTTAACCGAATAGGCAGGAGCAAACTTTTATGAAATGACTGGCCTGGGCCCTTTGCCTCAAGCTCTTTATAACGGTGAATCCTTTAACCCTGAAGAGCTGAATATTAATGAACTAGAAACGGCTGTTCTTCACAAAATGATGGATGCAACTGTATATTTACAAAAGGAAGTTTTAATGGTAAGTAGACATTTATGAGAAAATATATAATAAATGATATGATTTGTATTAAAATTTTTTGATAGCAAAAGTTAATTTTGTGAAAATTTCTGTCCTTATCATTTGGTAGTGGTTCTTAAAAGTAATAACTAATTGTTTAAATTTATCTGTGTATAATCGTGTCAAAAAATTGCTTAATTGGAAAGAAAATTCAAGTTTTTATAGGAAACTTCAAGAATCCAAAATTGCATACTATTTATTGATTTATTTCAGATTAAGTAGTCTTTGTATGTAATCTCTGCACAACTTGAAAACATATGCATATAAGTTGCCAATGTTATCTAAATAACATTTTTGTTATTTTAGGGCACAATAAATGACCAAACAAATGCCATTGATTTCCTTATGGATAAGAACAATGTTGTACCTCGTATAAATCCTTTGATTTTGCACACTAAACCACAGTACCTTAATTTAATATCTACATCAGGTAAAATAATCCTTCCATATACTTTCACAAATGCTTATTGAATTGTGAATGTTCTATTAATTTGTTATTTAACATTTAATATGAAAATTTTCAGTAACTGCTGATATTGAAGATTTCTCTACATTCTTTTTCTTGGATTCACAAGATAAGAGTGCTGTAATAACAAAGAACATGTATTATTTAACCCAAGAAGGTAATAAGCATATTTTATTTTCTTGAATTTATTCCTAAAATAGCAAAAACTTATAATTTTAGTAAGGTAATAAATTTTATATGTTGCTATTTGATTAGTTGCCTGGTTTTCAATTTGAGAGTTTGTAATTTGTTAGGATAAAATGATTGTGCTGAGAAAATGATGCCTAATATTCCAGCTAATCATAAATGCAAAAGGCTTAATCTCGGGTTTTTGCCTTTTATCAAAGCAAGCTATTCTTTTCTTTCACCTTTTTAAGAAAGAAAAAAAACATTTCAAGACTTTGTCAAGATTATATAATCATCAAGAAAAGTCAAAGTCTTAGGTCAAAGAATGTTGGTTAAATAATATCTGGAAGTTTTTTCTGGGGTTGGGAATCACAACCCAAGATGGGGACACCAAGACAGAAACCTATAAATAAGGAGTCAGCCTGAACAGGGGGGTTTGCAGTGAGGCCACAGATTGGTTAGAGGACAGTGAATTGTTAAAGATTGGTTAGAGGATAGTGAACTGTTAAGACAGATGCAGCTAAGTAAAGTTTGGACCTGCTTTGCTCTAGAGAGAAAAATGAGAACCAAGACATGAAAGATAAAAGAAGGCTCATTTTTATATCAGTATGTAAAGCATTAACTTTATAACAATGAGAGTGATCTAAAAACAGAATGATATATATAATAAGTGGTAAATTTTTATTAATGAGGGAGATTTAAGCAGAAACCACCCAACCAGTTTCTTAGAATGCTATGTAATGAATCCAAGTTTGGACCAGATGCCCCAGAATTACTTTCTAACAGACCCATGAGTTTATGTTCATAAAGTGGTATGTCTACAAGAAATCCAACAAATAATAACATCTAATACAGTTCCAAGTTATGGCAGGCTAAAGTCCTGAATGTGTCAAATGAAGGGAAAAGAACTCAAACAAATAGGAAATAAGAAATAGGAAACATGTTTATCAGGTTCTGTGTTGTATTTTGAAAAGTGCTTCCGGGCATCAGAATAAATTAGCCTATACTTACTGCCCTTTGGTTAAGTCCCTTGCAATTAAAAAAAAGACACTTTATTATCTGAGAAACACCTAATTTCCTCTTCTTTGCACTTATGTAAATGTGTAAAGAAATACTAGAGTTGTGAGATTTACTAAGCACTTTTGAAATATTTCTCAGTTTCCTTGCTGTGATGGTGAAAGCACTGACATTAAGAAGGCATTTCAATTCTTTACCTTTCCTTGAAAAAAAAAACATGCTGCTGCCTTAACTTTTAAGTTGCTTCTGAAGATTGCAGTGTCATCCTTCCGTTTGTTACAGTTTTTGTTTAGTTAGATATTATGGGGCATGTTAATCACTGTAGCTTCCCAACTGTTCAGGGAATTTTTCCTGTAGCAAATTTCTTACCATCGTTTTAAGTGGGTCATGCGATCTAAGCATCAGTTTTTCTATAGAATTTAATGGTAGCAAGATTAGCATTAACTTAGGTGTTACATGCTGAGGCTATGTGAAATTAAACCCATTTAACTGTAACTTCAGAATTAAAAATTGTGGCTTTTATGGCTTCCACTTTTCAAACTTTTCTTAAAAAGAATTGTACTGATGTTGGCACAAGATGATCTGTTAGACCAAGTTAATAAGAGCCAGATGTTTTGAAGTAAATGAATCATAAGCTAATAAAATATTGCTGTTCTCAATATCTACTAAAAAGCTTTGTTGTATCTAGTTTTACTTAAATGTAGGGTATAATATCAATTTTTTTTTACAAATGTCTAGAAGGCAGTTTAACTTGTTGACACTGGAACCATTATAGGCATAATACAATTTTTTCTACTGGTGAAAGTAGCCCACCTTTATGTCCCTTAGGGACTATTCTTTCTTTTTGGTATCTGATTTTATAAAAGCTAAAATAATAATTTACTCTTTCAGCATTATTCCATGTATACCAGTGTGTGTGTGAGTAATTTTTAGCAATGTTTACAATATTTAGCAATATTTATTTTCAGAAAGATTAACTTTAATATTTGATATTTTTAATGTATTTAGATAATTGGAAGTATCCCTGCTTTTGGTTTGATGTTAAAAACAATTATTTGACCAAACTGTTTAAACCTTTCAGATTATGATATAATTTGTTCAGTTTCTCTCTGGATTATTGCTGACTTTGATGAACCATCTGGGAGAAAACTGCTTTTCAGTGCATTAGAGCACATGGTGAGTATTCAAATATTCTTTCTACAAAAAATTTAATATTAATGTTGTTAATTTTGAGAAAACATTATGAAGAACATGCATTAAATCCTTATTCCCCTCCATGCTAGCATTTTAAGTACCTTAACTTGATGAGAAGTTGGTTCTAAGGAGACTGAGATGGTAATGCAAACAGTCTGCGTGTTGAACAGTCAACTTTGTCGAGGGAAAGAAAAACCTGTGTGTCTCCTGTGAGTCTTGACTAATGTATTCTTGGCTAGCCTTTGCTGTTTGACAGACACATATCTAATGGGCTGAATGTTTGTGTCCCCACAAAATTCATATGTTCAAATCTAACCCTTCAGTGTGATGGTGTTTGGAGATGGGGCCTTCAGGAGGTAATTAGGTCATGAGGGTGGAGCACTCATGAGTGGGATTAGTGCCCTTTTAAGAAGAGATCAGAGAGCTACTCACTCTCTTACTGTCACATGAGGATATGAGAAATCAGCATTCTACAACCTAGAAGGGGGTGCTCACCATAACCTGACCATGCTGGTATCCCAAACTCAGATTCCAGTCTCCAAAACTGAGAAATAAATTTCTGTTGTTTATAAGCCACCAACCTATGATTATTTTGCTGTAGCAGCTCAAACTAAGACACAAAGGTTGTAAAAATGCTATTAAAACAGAGTGAATGGTTGTAGATCCTACCACTACCTCTAATAAGCAATTTTTCATCACATTAAAAGGCAGCACTTTCTTTCTCTGATTATTTAATAAAAACTAAATTTATCTTACTGAAAAGTTTTTTAAACTTTAAGTCAACCTTAATTTTCTTGTTACTAGATAATTACAAGCTGATATACTTCAGTAGGATACATTCCTCTACTTATTTGAAGGTAGTGTTTTTTTTCTTTTTTTCTTTTGCTATCATTAATGTACAATTACATGAACAACATTATGGTTATTAGACTGCCCCTATTTTCAAGTCCCCATCACATACCCCATTACAGTCACTGTCTATCAGCATAGTAAGTTGCTATTGAATCACTACTTGTCTTGTCTGTGTTATACTGCCTTCCCCATGTTCCCCACCCCCTACATTATACATGGTAATCATAACACCCCTCTTTCCCCCTTATCCCTCCCTTCCCACCCATCTGTCCCCATCCCTTTCCCTTTGGTAACTGTTAGTCTATTCTTGGGTTCTGTGAGTCTGCTGCTGTTTTGTTCCTTCAGTTTTTTTCTTTGTTGTTATACTCCACAGATGAGTGAAATCATTTGATACTTGTCTTTCTCCTCCTGGCTTATTTCACGGAGCATAATACCCTCTAGCTCCATCCATGTTGTTGCAAATGGTAGGATTTGTTTTCTTCTTATGGCTGAATAATATTCCATTGTGCATATGTACCATCTCTTTATCCATTCATCTACTGATGGACATTTAGGTTGCTTCCATTTCTTAGCTGTTTTAAATATGGCTGCTATAAACATAGGGGTGCATATGTCCTTTTCAAACTGGGCTCCTACATTATTAGGGGAAATTCCTAGGAGTGGAATTCCTGGGACAAATGGTGTTTCTATTTTTAGTTTTTTGAGGAACCTCCATACTACTTTCCACAATGGTTGAACTAGTTTACATTCCCACCAGCAGTGTAGGAGGGTTCCCCTTTCTCTACATCCTTGCCAGTATTTGTTGTTCCTAGTCTTTTCTATGTTGGCCATCCTAACTGGTGTAAGGTAATATCTTATTGTGGTTTTAATTTGCATTTCTCTGATGATTAGGGATGTGGAGCATCTTTTCATGTGCCTATTGGCCATCTGAATTTCTTCTTTGGAGAAGTGTCTGTTCAGATCCTCTGCCCATTTTTTAATTGGCTTATTTGCTTTCTGTTTGTTGAGGTGCATGAGCTCTTTATATAATTTGGATGTCAACCCCTTATCAGATATGTTATTTATGAATATATTCTCCCATACTATGAGATGTCTTTTTGTTCTACAGATGGTGTCCTTTCCTGTACAGAAGCTTTTCAGCTTGATATAGTCCCACTTGTTCATTTTTGCTTTTGTTTCCCTTTACCAGGGAGATGCATTCATGAAGAAGTTGCTCATGTGTATGTCCAAGAGATTTTTCCCTATGTTTTTTCCAAGAGTTTTATGTTTTCATGACTTACATTCAGGTCTTTGATCCATTTTGAGTTTACTTTTGTGTATGGGATTAGACAATAATCCATTTTCATTCTCTTGCATGTAGCTATCCAGTTTTGCCAACACCTGTTGTTGAGGAGGCTGTCATTTCCCCATTGTATATCCATGGCTCCTTTGTCATATATTAATAGACCATATGTGCTTGGGTTTATATCTGGGCTTGCTAGTCTGTTCCATTGCTCTATGGGTCTCTTCTTGTGCCAGTACCAAATTATCTTGATTTCTGTGGCTTTTTAGTAGAGCTTGAAGTCAGGGAGTGTAATTCCCCTGTTTTGGCTGTTCGGGGTCTTTTGTGGTTCCATATGAATTTTAGAACTATTTGTTCTAGTTCAATGAAGAATTCTATTGGTATTTTCTTAGGGATTGCATTGAATCTGTAGATTGCTTTAGGCAGGGTGGCCATTTTAACAATATTAATTCTTCCTATCCATGAGCACAGGGTGTGTTTCCATTTATGGGTGTCTTCTTTAATTTCTTTCATGAGTGTCTTGTAGTTTTCAGAGTATAGGTCTTTCACTTCCTTGGTTAGGTTTATTCCTAGGTACTTTATTCTTTTTGACGCAATTGTGAATGGAATTGTTTTCCTGATTCCTCTTTCTGCTAGTTCATCATTAGTGTATAGGAATGCCATGGATTTCTGTGTATTAATTTTGTGTCCTGCAACTTTGCTGAATTCAGATATTAGATCTAGTAGTTTTGGAGTGGATTCTTTAGAGTTTTTTATATACAATGTGATGTCATCTGCAAACAGGGGTAGTTAGACTTCTTCCTTACCAATCTGGATGCCTTTTATTTCTTTGTGTTATCTGATTGCTGTGGCTAGGACCTCCAGAACTATGTTGAATAAAAGTAGGGAGAGTGAGCATCCTTATCTTGTCAAGGAAAAGCTTTCAGCTTCTCACTGTTCAGTATAATGTTGGCTATGGGTTTGTCATATATGGCCTTTATTGTGTTGAGGTACTTGCCCTCTATACCTATTTTGTTGAGACTTTTTATCATGAAAGGATGTTGAATTTTGTCAAATGTTTTCTCAGCATCTATGGAGATAATCATGTGGGTTTTTTTTGTTGTTGATGTGGTGGATGACGTTGATGGATTTTCGAATTTTGTACCATCCTCGCATCCCTGGGATGAATCCAACTTGATCATGATGGATGATCTTTTTGATGTGTTTTTTGAATTTGGTTTGCTAATATTTTGTTGAGTGTTTTTGCATCTATGTTCTTCAGGGATATTGGTCTGTAATTTTCTTTTTTTGTGGTGTCTTTGCCTGGTTTTGGTATTAGAGTGATGTTGGCCTCATAGAATGAGTCTGGGAGTATTCTCTCCTCTTCTACTTTTGGAAAACTTTAAGGAGGATGGGTTTTAGGTCTTCACTAAATGTTTGATAAAACCATCTGGCTCAGGGATTTAGTTCTTAGGTAGTTTTTTGATTACCAATTCAATTTCATTGCTGGTAATTGGTCTGTTCAGATTTTCTGTTTCTCCCTGAGTCAGCCTTGGAAGGTTGTATTTTTCTAGAAAGTTGTCCATTTCTTCTAGGTTATCCAGTTTGTTACCATAGAATTTTTCATAGTATTCTCTCATAATTCTTTGAATTTCTGTGGTGTCCATAGTGATTTTTCCATTCTCATTTCTGATTCTGTTTATGTGTATAGACTGTCTTTTTCTTGATAAGTTTTGTAGCTGGGGGTTTATCTATTTTGTTTATTTTCTCAAAGAACCAGCTCCTGCTTTCATTGATTCTATTGTTTTATTCTTCTCGATTTTATTTATTTATGCTCTGATCTTTTTTATGTCCCTCCTTCTTCTTACTTTGTGCCTCATTTGTTCTTCCTTTTCTAGTTTTGTCAACTGTAAATTTAGACTGTTCATATGGGATTGTTCTTCTTTCCTGTTGTAGGCCTGTATTGCAATTTACTTCCTTCTTAGCATGGCCTTTACTGCATCCAATGGGTTTTGCGGTGTTGAATTACTTTTGTCATTTGTCTCCATATATTGCTATATCTCTGTTTTTATTTGATCATTGATCCATTGATTATTTAGGAGCATGTTATTAAGCCTCCTTGTGTTTGTGAACTTTTTCATTTTCTTTGTGCAATTTATTTCTAGTTTCATACATTTGTGATCTGAGAAACTGGTTTGTACAATTTCAATCTTTTTGAATTTACTGAGGCTCTTTTTGTGGCCTAGTATATGATCTATTTTTGAAAATGTTCCATGTGCACTTGAGAAGAATGTGTATCCTGTTGCTTTTGGATAGAGTGTTCTGTAGATGTCTTTTAGGTCCATCTTTTCTAATACATTGTTCAGTGCCTCTGTCTCTTTACTTATTTTCTGTCTGGTTGATCTGTCTTTTGGTGTGAGTGGTGTGTTGAAGTCTCCTAAACTGAATGCATTGCATCTATTTCCCCCTTTAATTCTGTTAGTATTTGTTTCACATATGTAGGTGATCCTGTGTTGGGTGCATAGATATTTATAATAGTTATATCCTCTTGTTTGTCTGACCCCTTTATCATTATGTAATGTCCTTCTTTGTCTCTTGTTACTTTCTTTTTTTTTGATGTCTAGTCTGTCTGTTACAAGTACTGCAACTCCTGCTTTTTTTTCCTCCCTTTTGTTTGCATGAAATATCTTTTTCCATCCCTTTACTTTCAGTCTGTATATGTCTTTGGGTTTAAAGTGAGTCTCTTGTAGGCAGCATATAGATGGGTCTTGTATTTTTATCCATTCAGTGACTCATGACTTTAGATTGGTGCATTCAGACCATTTACATTTAGGGTGATTATCGATATGTATGTACTTATTACCATTGC